CCCCCCCCCCCCCCCTAAGAGACTGGATCCTACCGTGGTACGACGCTTTGTGCTGATTGATCTACACTGGGAAAGTGTGCGTGTGACACTCAGAGCCTCTTATACTATGCTGGTCAATAGTTAAAGGTCTGATCACAACAGTCACCTATTCCTTATGTTGAGGGTTGGAACGTGTGTGGCGACTTGCTGCTTAAAATGTAAGCTGCTCTGACATCCTTATGCCAGCCACCGCTGCCTTCGGTTAGGCTTTTGAGTCAAGGTTTGCTTAAGGACCCTGATCTGTTTCAGACCCTGTCTAGATCTCGGCGCCCTTGCAGTATCTCAGCCGACGTAAAATCATGAATTATACACCTACCAATAAACTCATGCCACATCGGCCGTAGCGTGGTGCCATCAGCCTTTTTGTATGGCTTTGAAGCGACAGTGTTCATGTTTGGTGTTGCTGTCAATGATGATGATGATTTCAAATTACCCATGGGCTGTGTACGAGGCTGTTTAGCTGGCCCTGTATCTTGTATGTATTTGGACCTTTCAAGTCGAGCTGTTGTCTGTCAGTTTAGGTCCTTTCCCAGCTAATACTGCACTAATTTGCATGCTTTCCTTGGAATGTTACTGTGGAGCTGGGCTATTTGTTTCGACCGGTGTTATTCAAGGACGATCGTAAATCTTTTACTCTGCTTCAGTTGAGTTGTTTTATTTAATCACGGCTACAGCAGGGTTGAGTAAATCAGTGATCATATCTTTATTCAAGAGTGGTACGCAAATCTACTGTCGCAACGATGGAGCTATGAGCCTTTAAGCTATCATCATAGAGCTCTTATTTTTCCAAATACCGCTTCTCGTATTCCGGGCGCGTGTGATGCGAAATCGGAAACCGTAAATAGGATTTCGATCAGATAGAGGGTACACCAAAAGCTTCAGCGGCGCCATGCATGTTGTGTACACTTTTTCTTTTGACTCCGAGGAGGCTTACATCTACGTGGACAAACATACATGTCCTTGCCGCTCTTCATTCCAACACTTGATCGTGTGATAGTTTTCGGTGGAAGTGAAAAGTTTTCCGGACAACTAGCGCGTTTCGTTAAAACGACTCTACTTTTTCGATCTTGTTCAACTGTACTATCCATATAATCATCATAAGATGCACTCTAAAAGCCTAGAAATCTAAGTTTCGAGGTGGCACGTAGAAAGTGATTAGTGGAATCGGGTTATGCGGACGATATCATCCTCTTATTCGGCAACCGCCAGTCTGCACAAACTTGATATGATTATGTTTGTGAATCACTGTGAGGGAGGGGGGAGACAGAAGTGCTGGTTAACCTGCTCAATACCGGGATTGCCTTTGGATCGGTCCGTACAATTCCTCCACATTTCGCTGCGGTTTTCCCACCCAAGTATTTCGACGTGCATATTGTTGGACTGTATGATATCAGTTTCTGTTTCGCCCGAAAAACGTCTTTGAAAAACCTTTCGCGATGCCTTCGTACTATATTGGCTTAAGTTCTTGTAGTTTTAATTTAGCAATCGATTGTCCCCTGGTTCGAACCTGAGGGAAAATGAAATCACTGATTGAATGAACACACTTGGGTAAAAATGGACGATAGCAACTATCCCTTCCCGTCTGTCTGTTTTGAAAGTTATGAGCCACTAAGAACCGCAATCCTAATTAGTTTTTTAAAAGGGCCAGATTCACAATGCAAGATATCTGGGACACTTTCATCATTGCTTGACAGCTAACCCTCTGGTGTGAAGTGCATGATTCAATGGTGGCCGATACATTAGGTCGGTACAACAGGCATTTCAGGATTCCACATTAGTCGTTCAAAACGTCATTAGTTCTTCATGGCGTCAGAACGCTCATCAGTGGAAGTTGAATACCCCCGGTTATCTATGGTTTTCTTGAACTATCGTTCTACAAACTGGACTGTTTGTGAGCTTGTTTCTGAGGAAATGTGAAGAAGTTAGATTGTGACATGCCTCAAACTTCCGGGCATTCGTTCATCGTCAGTTAGTGACCTTGTAACCGGTCGGTTGAAACTGAAGAGTTTACGTTCTTACATGAAAACTCAACAATACTCTGTGAGGGTGATGTAGCGATATTCAAGCATTCTTAAGATAGTAAAAGGTCTATGTGGATATCAACCTCCAGCGTTTGTTTCGTCGTTGATTTGACTATCTTCCTAGGTGTGAATACTTCGTATACTGTGCCATACGCGTACTGATTTTCAAGTTCATTCACGGCCTCTGACCTATTTCTGTTTTCCCTCCTACAGAAAGCCACAATGCTCGCACAGAATATGGTGGTTCGCTTCGGTCTCTCCACCAAATTGGGCCCACGGGTGGTCACCGACCTCCGAGAGGATCAGTTAAGCCAGAACACACGTGAGATGATTGACAAAGAAGTGGATCAATTGTTAAACGATTCATTAAATCGTGTACGGGCATTACTTACGAGCCACTCGAAGCAACACAAGACGTTGGCTGAGGCACTACTTCACTTTGAAACTTTGACCAAAGAAGAAGTGTCAGCCGTACTTGCTGGAAAGATGAAACCCCCGAAGAACCCTCCCTCACCCTCAGGTCCTATTTCGGTTCTAGCCGCCCAGTCCACCCCCGAAGTACATGTATAGTTTGCTAGGGTAGCCCCATTTTTCCACAACAAACCACGTCAACCTCTACATCGAGTTTTCGACCGTCGCCAGTTCTACATCATTCTTCTGGCCATTCGAATTCTGTGAAGTGACCATCGCCACTCTTATTCATTACCTCAGTTTCCACTCCGGCTTGATTTCTCCACTTGGGTGCGAAATGCAATGATATTTTAGTCTCAGCTATCACCATGGAGCTTCTGTATCTAAACATTCTGTTTTGTTCTTCGAATGTCGTCAGCTGGGTTGACTTGTGGGTCTTGATCTTTTCTATCTCGTCGGCATAAACGGGCAATCTGGTTTTAATGAATTACCTGTGTTTTTCTAATCGTTTGAAGAGAACTTCAGGTGATTTACTTTGAGTTGTACCAGGTGGCTTGTCATATCTAAGAGTTTAGTGGCTACTTGTCGGTCTTTTTAATGACATATGAGGACAAACTTGCTGTTAATTTATGAGGTTGGTTGTGAGAATTGAGCAAGTTGGGTTTGTCACTCATTTAATTCAATTGTCATTGAATCCAACGATTTTCACTACAAGCAGTCGGTTATTTCCCATCATATACTGACTGGTAGCGTCCGGTGTAGTAGCTCCGAAACTGACCCAGGCGGCAGATTAACTTAGCTCTTCGGCTGCCTTTTCGAGGGCATGGGTCCGACCTTCCATAGGGTCCTTCAGATCAATATGTGATATTCTGTCCGCCTGTCATTCCAGAGCTCAGCACGTGAGGTTGTTCGCCGGATCAGTTTTCTACTTCCGTCCCAATCAGCCTATTGGACCTTCCTAACTTTATTCCCGAACGAATTTGGTCTTAACAAGAGGCTCAGCCGTATCCGGTTTATGATGTTGCTCAACTGGATGTTCTGCACAAATGTCGCCCCGTGTTTCAGATCGCAGTGTACATTTTTTGCTCTCATTTTTTGACTTCGTGTTCCTCATACTTTCTGTGCGTTGGATCACACTTCTTCCCAACCCTCTAATCACATTTCAAAGCATCTCTGTGTTACAGAAAGGCGTGCGTTGGGTGCCGACCGGTAAGGAACATCTCGAATTCTCCATGAACTTTTGGGTAGAATTCCTCTTGGATTTGAGGATTCCCCGTTGATGCGGAAAGGGCGCGATTAGACACTGACATGTTTCCTCCGGTGGATATCGTCTATTGGAGTGTTATGTTGTCTGTGTATTATCTTCATTTGGTTACTAATTTATCACAAGGGTCTCCGAATAGAAGACACTGTGGGGAGGGGGGTTCGCTTCTTCCCTGGTGCATGACCTTCCTTGAGGTGAGTACTTTTATTAGTGCACATTCGTTGATGGCCATAACAACTCAGGTTATATGCACTAATAAAAGTGTTTAGTATGATTGACACTGGGGGTTTGCAACACGTATAAAAATAAATACCGTGCGAAATGGGAGCGAGTCAAAAAAAGGAACTTATCGGATGTGGGAGTCTTTTGGAGAAAGTCCGGATGGCGGGAACGTGTTTCCTCCGCACTGTGGCTTCTACACGTATTCCATGATTGTCCGTGGACTGGGAGTGTTTGGCTGACTCCTTGCTCCCTGCACGCGCGCGCGAGTCTGTGTGTCCTGACTGGGTTCGGTTTCCCTTTATGTGGGTTCCAGTGCGTGTGCGTGGGCGCGTCAGCACGTGAGTGGTTGGTACACTGACTAGGCGGTGCAGATGTCCGATGAGTCAGCTTAATGTGACGTGTTCGTGAGTATGAGAAAGAGACAAGTCTCGTGATACAGTGAGCGACTGTGGGCTGAACAGTCAAGTGTGTGGGTAACTGGGTCGCTACACTTTGCTTTTTGATGACCGGGGACTCTAGCAGAACCTTCAGAGAAGTAGCCTTTCTTCGAAGGGTGTGTATCAGGATGATTAACGTACACAACATACATGAATATGATCGTGACAAGCATCAATACCATGAAATCACCACCTAGAAACTGTCCCACCGAGATGAGGTTGTCTGATTTCTTCTATATTTCTTCAATTTACCCTAGAGAAATTCACCCCCTTTAAAGATGGCCGACAGATTCCGATACCCCACACGATGATTAAAAAAGTTGCCGATTTACTCTGTCATAAATCCGGCAATTGTCCCTTAATATAGATTACCATCCTGGGTGGTATGGAGCATCACGTGTGGCAGGTAGTGAAAAAATACATAGTTTCAGCCTCAAACCGACTGATTGATGGTATAACAGACACGTTTGTGAACGATTGCCTCCACAAAGTGAATGTATTTTTAGTGTCTCCATAAGCGAGGTGACGACACACCAATGGTTCAGGCGTATCCTACGACGTGTGGATGAAAAATGGCGTCACTTGTGAGTCCTGACTCATTCGGAGCATCTCCAAATTTTAGATTGTCAGGGACATGTGATACCAGTTGTTATCCATGTGGTATGCTTGACATAATGTTTCATATCCCTTACTTCGGTTCGTTCATCAACGAGGCATAGTTTTCGGATTTGCGTACTACCATTTACGGTAGGGTCTTGTTCGTGTGTGTGGAATTATAGTCGAAGTGAAAAAGAACGGCGCGATACGATGTTGAACCGGTGCATATGTTTTTACCGAGAGACGTGGCATTCGAAACGCGTCAATGCAGATTCTGGTGGGGTCTCTTCAGCTCATTTAACGGAAGTTTTAAAGTTTTCCATCTATATTGAAGTTTCAAGGCCGTTCTCATGACCTCGGTGAAGACCGATAAATAATAAATAAAACTTGACTATTCCCCAGTAATCAGCTTGCCTCAATTAAGCTTTGATTTCACGATGGAATTACGTCCTATGCCATAAAATGACACTTCGACATTTGTTGTCTGTGTTTCCCACACACCGTTGATTCAAGCGATCCGATTGCTTTGGAACCAGTCCTTTCTTCTACACAGTGTTCGATGTAATCAACTGGTTGTTACCGGCCGCTGTCCGTTTTCTATAAATGTTGATGGTTGAAATTGATTTGAAATGTCAACCTGTTTCTTCCGAGTGTTCTGGTCGAAGTGCTTATAAACTTGCGAGCGTAGATATGTATCATTGAGTCCCCGAAGTCGTCATTCTGATGAATCCTTTGAAATTTTCAGACGGAAATGAAATCCCTAAGGGTTCAGAGTTTGAGGCGGATTTATTTGAAAATGGAGCACGGTCGAGAGGCAGAGGAAATTCTATTGTAGGCACTTCTGAACTCAGTATCCTAGCAACAGCTGAGTTCTTGCGGTGCGATCGGTTGACCTCGGACCTTTTCCGAAATGCAGTCCACGAAGGCACAGAAGTCAAAAGCTTGGCGGCAAAAGTCGACTTACATTTTTGATGTAACTGAAACCCAGGTGTTATTGGTTGCCAGTGCCGGTGTGCGGATGGGCTACCGTATATCCGTCTATGAGTACAATATCACCACCTTGAACGGCTAAAATATGCTGTACGAGAGATTATTGGAACTGTCCTACTTCCTCAGTTTCTCATGCAGCTCAGTATGCGGGATAGTGGATTTTGATATGCTGATGAATAAATCCACCTTCAGTTTGGATAGATAGTCTCAACTCCATTGATGGCACCTGGTTCATGCAACAGATGCGAAGCTGGAGTCACATGTTTTACAAGACTGAGTTGCGGCAGGTATAGTTGAGGAAGTACATACAAGATAGAAATCCTCATCTTTTTGACCAGACAAGCACGATTTACTGGTAAAGAACCATGTCAGTTAGAAAGAAATTTCTGTTACGACGAGGCGAATAGTACTACTGCCCCGAACCAGATGAGGGGTTCACCATAACTCTGGAGGTCTCTGCAATCGATTGTTGCGCACGTGTTATTAAATTTGAAATACGAAATGAGGCAAGTTTCACGGAAAAATAGCGGCCATGTCCAAGGGAAAATCAACTGCTCGAATTGAATTAAGTGGTCTCCACCGTTGAAAGAACTCCACCTCCTGCTTCAACACAAATTCCTCGGAGAAGGGGAATCGGCTCTATCAGTATACCGAGTCACTGCTGTCCATGGAGCACAATTAGCAGTATGATTGAGACAATAACTAGATAGAGTGAAGTTGCGTACTAACACCGCAGGATTTTTCCCGATGACTTTGGGCAGAGAACTGTGGGGTTCAAGACATCAAGAAGTTCTTCAAATATTGGGTGCACCTCGTCCGTCCACTCCATCAGGTCTGAAGTTTGCTGTTACTTGCTTTTCGATCCCATTTATAAACACGGATAGAGTGGTACAATCCTATGATTGGCGATGACCGTCATATGGTTTGTACACCCATTTGGTTGTGTCAAATGTTCACCCGATGTTTATGCTCTATTTGAGGCATGTGAAGCTTTTATAACAGGGTATCACGTACCACGTTCCCTCATTGAACCCGTGTGACCTTTGTGGGAGACCTGGTTACCGGCCGGCACTACGTCATTGTGTTACCACTGCCATAGGTCTGATAGTCCATGTGCAGTGAGTGTCACGCTATGGTTGTCATTGTAGCGGCATGAACGGATTTCGCGGAACGTTTGATTTGGGTAGTCCAAGTGAACTGAAATATTCTAGGCACGTCGATAGAAAGGGAAATTCAGCTATCAAGTCTGCGGTGGTGGTGGCTCTACGGCGTTCCTGGTTGTGGACTTTGCAAACGCAAAGACTGATTTGGTGCCTTTGAGCGGGAAACACAAGGTCTTCCATAGAGGAAAATGTCAGTAGCTCAGGTAGCGTAGATGGTGGTCGTCGCTGAGCTGAGCAGTTTGATTTCAGACGTTTCAGCACCAATCGAGGTGACATCATCAGTGCGTTATTTGGGAGCGTAGTACTACGCCAACACAAGGTCTATCCATACACAGGAACCTCAACTTTTACCGTAAGGTGGTACGTGGAGTACATCACCAGATGGTATTCATTGTTTGTAATGGCTGTTCTGTTCGCTGCCATCTATACAACCTGAACTACTGACATTCCAATATTAAGATCATAGACTAAACTGTTCGCGCTCCTACGAGAAACCGAGAGATCCCTGACGAGCCTAGTTTCCGCGGATGGTTGTGCATACAATGCACTACCTGAGGTATATGATGTTTCAGGAATGAGAGCTATCCTAATTCGCTCAAAAGTAACCTCGGTCACAATTTTCGAACATGTATATAGTTGTTGAGTATCTGTCTTGGTTTATATTAATGACATTTCTCACCCCTAGACTACACTGTTTGTTGTCTTACTGCTGACTCCGCTCCAGTGCCAGAGAAAAGACTCTCAGAAGGGAACACAACAGCCATATTCCGAACAAGTGAGTGCGGCAGCGTGAGTGCGTGCGAGTGGGAATGTACAACGGCCTCAAGTTGAACTTGGTCCAACGCTGACGCACACTGTCTAGCTTTTGTACGAGGCTGTGACGCGTTGCATATTTTAGGGGGTTCTGACGTCTATCCAATGCTGACGCACGCCATCTGGCTTTCGTAGGGGATCG